AAGATGGATACTGTGCAGTTGATTGCTTTTGTAGTAGTTTTGATACTGTATTAAACAAAACCCGTTGATCACTTGAGTTTTCAGTAATGATGGTAGTGTAGTAAGAGGATTTCAACGACTTGATCAAATTATTCACAACACAGCACTGACGATTATATTCTTGTCGATCAGCCTGCAGCCTGGTTCTTCGCCATTTTCTTTCAAGGCGTCGTCGCTTACGCTTCTCTACAGATACCTCATTAGTGTACCACGGAGCAGCAGGCCTAATAGTAACAACTCGGCGCTTGACAGGAGCATGCTTGTCCATTATTGATCTTAATAAGGTGTCATACTGTTGAACTAGATGATCGAGATCGCTGGATGGATCGATGACAAGAGGGCAGTCAGCAACATCACTAAGAAACGACTCCATGTCAAGAGACTGAAGCTTCCGATAGAAGATAACTTCCTTCCTAAACTGGGGCTTTCTTATGGAGACATTACACATTACCGCCAAATGATCAGAGATGTTAGGATCATAGACTTTGATATTATTGAGCATGTTATCATCAGACTTATTTATAAGTAAGTCAAGAGTATGGCCATTGCGATGAGTCCCAGCACAGACACGTTGTTTAAGGTCAAAAGATTCCAAGATGTCAGTAAAACGTTTGGCATTTACATCATCTTGACAATCCATATGCAAGTTAAAGTCACCAGTAATTAGGACTCGATCAGAAGACTCCACGGTTACAGATTCAAGTAGATGTGAGAATTCCTCAAAAAATCGATTGAAAGAGGAATTATCAGGTGGACGATAGATGACTAAGATCCTGACACTATATAGGCTCCGAAGACGAACATCCATGATTTCAAATGTATCATAATCAACTGTTAATGAAGTGTTGATGTTCAGCACATCCTTAAATAAGATCCCAACACCGCCTCCTCTTCCTTGTTTCCTGGGAACATGTAGGAATCTATAACCTGTTGGACACAGTGTTCCAATCTCAACATCATCCATATTGTGTGGTCTCAGCCAGGTCTCAGTAAAAGCTAGAATATCTATATCAAAATCCACCACAAAATCTTTAACCTCCATTGTCTTATTACGCACGGAGCGTGTGTTCAGTAGAGAGAAATTTAAGCAATGTAATAAACCATTTTCACTGTATGGAATTTGCGCAGAATTTTGTGAAGAGACTTGAGGCCCAGGATGCGGATGTACATCACCACTAACCAATAGAGATATTACCATGGAGTTAAAAGAGGCCGTAGTATTACTGTAATAAGATATTCTGCTTTTAAACCATTTTCTCTTCGGAGTCCTTAATAACAAACCTTTGTTCGGACTCATAAAGAAAAACATCCCATGGGAGGAGAATGCAAATAAGCTTCTCTGCCAGCGAGAAATCCGAGCGTGACTCATAAAGAAAACCATCCCATGGGAGGAAAATGCAAATGAGCTTCTCTGCCAACGAGTAATCCAAGCGTAACATATTCCCGGTGAAGTTGGTTCAACAACTCTTTGGAACTGGTTTTCGAAGCTGTCAAACTCAGAGGTGACTTGAAAATCCCCGCCAGCACATCTCAGCAGGATTATCAACCACAAGGACCAATTTAGAAAACGAATGGCCATCTTTAAGCGCATAAAAAAGTAGATAACGCCAGAGCTTGTGAGGACACGTCCGCACCGCACCGCACCGCACCTATGGGGTCTATGGGGTCTAACGTCAATAATAACGGATGTTTTGACTTCCGCGACAAATATACATTGCCGATGTACTTAGAATGTGCTTACAATTGATATTTACTAATTCTCGAGGACCGTTTGTATAAGATTTTTTACAAATTTGCAGATCAAACCATTCCATTGTCTTGTAACGAATCATGAAAGTTGTCATAATTGCCTCTAAACCCAATTTTCCTATTGTTACCAATTAAAACCTTTAAAAAATCATATCTTAACGACTAAACATTGTTCAACGATGAAACTATGGACAGTCATGTAACTTTATAAGCTCTTTCATTTTAAAACATTTTTGCGAAATGATCCTTGTTTCCATGGCAACGGTTGCTAAGATGCGTTTTTTGTAAGCAATGCCCCTTTTAAAGAAGATCGAACAGAGATATGGGTTAAATAAAGCAATTTAAGACAAAACTTCATAGAGAAATGAAATAAGTTTTTTTACCGGTTTGAGGAATGCTGAATGACTCCCTTAAACTTTTTCCTCATATGCCTAAAAATACAATCATTTGGCTAAAATGTAATACAGTATCAACACAAACAAATCTTTATAGGTTTTTTTTTTTCGTGTGTGTCTAGAAATGTTAATCAGAGTGGAGAGTCTTTAGTAAAGATCTTGGATACAAATACATATGTTTTGAAACGGTATTGTTATATTTGACGTTATTATTATCTCTTTGTCTTGAGAGGCTTTGCTTTCTTTCTTGAGTATTGTACCGAAAATTTAATACTAAATTATTGAAATACTTGATTTTTTAGTTGCTTAGATTTTGTGTAATTTGCGGTAAAGCTCTTAAAGCTTTTACAATGAACTTTTATGAGTTATTTTTCCGTAAATCCTCTTAAGTTGATTTCTTATCCATTCTTCCTTTTCATTCCCATGATGCCTTTGATGCATATCCCGAATTGCTTTGCGAGTAGCATCCGCCATTTTAATTGCGGGATCGATTTAATCTTCAAAAGGTAAGAATTATTTGGTTTTTTTGCTTCCCTTTTGCTACTTTTAATCGCTTTAAACACTTATTTTTTTATTGTTGACGTGCTAGGTGTAGGTTAAAAGATTTTTCAGGGTTGATTAGTTGATTATTTTACTGAGCTCATGAACTAAAGAAAATTGTTCTTTATAATCTCTGTAAGTTCTTTGTGAAAATCGAAAACAACAGTCCTTGTTTTTATAACCAATCCAATATAAACTGAACCATTGATCTTTAAAACATGTATTTGATTATAAATTGTAAAGCAATTACCTTTTTTTAGATATACATATACTGTATATATAGAGAATTTCCCGGTGTGTTTGCTTTAGTAACACTTGAGAACTTTTTGTCGGTAAAATTGTGATAGATAGTTTTCCTCCTTTAAAATATTAGATATGGCGGATTCTGAAGATGAGCCACAAGAAGCCAAGAAGGCAAAAGTAGACAGGACTTCCAGGTCCACATATGAAAGTGTAGATTGGTCAATATGTATATTTTGCCAAAAAAAGAAGTACAAAGGCGTAAAAGAGCTTATAAGTGTTGCCAGCTTTGATTCTTGTCAAGCGATTGTAGACGCTGGCATTGCTCTTGATGACCAGCGATTGCTTTTAAATATCAAAGGCGTTGATTTGATAGCGAAAGAAGCGAAGTATCACGAAAAATGTCGAAGCAAATATGTCAGTAAGACAAACCTAAAATGTCTCAGTTACAAGGAAGATAATGAAGAGGAGGAGTGTTTGTATTCTGCAGCGTTTGCTATGTTAGTGGATGAAATTACTCCTGGATTATCTGAAGGAAAGATTTATGACATGAGCCATTTGTTAGACCGCTTTAAGCAGGTATTGGAAGTCAAAGGCATTTCTTGCAGCAATTATTGCAGCGAAAAGCTCAAAAGAAGAATGAGAGGCCATTTCTTAGACCAAATAGTCATCGAGAAGCAGAACGACCCTTCGAAGCCCGAATTAATTTATTCCAGTCATTTGTCAGTTGCAGACATAGTAAAAACATCAGTCTCTCAGCAGTCCAGTGAAGATTTTGAAGTCGATGAGGACACGAGACAGGATATGGAACAGGATAAGGCCAGCATTTTGTAGCAAGCAGCCCAGATAATAAAGAATGACATCAAACAGTGCAATGGTATTTCAATCAAGCCATTGTGTGTAGATGATGTGTCCATAGAGAAGGGCAGGTGCCTAATACCGGAAAGCCTTTACAGTTTTCTTTCAGAAGTTATCTCTAGGCAAGACAAAAAGGCCACTATCGTGTCGGATGGAGCTACTCTTAGTGCTGAGAAAGGAAGACGCGTAGTTATGCTAGGTCAGGATATAATTCATTCCGCGACCAATAGTCAGGTGAAAACACCGAAACACATAGGTTTGGCAGTCACCATACATCATTTAACAGGGTCTAAGGAAGTCTTGACTTTGTTAAACAGAATGGGGCACTGCTCTTCATATGATGATGTTGAAATCGTAAACACAGCGTGGGCAAGAGAGATGGAGGCACGGAGCCAACAAACTGGAGCAGTCATCCCATCAAACATTACCGCCGGCCCATTTGTACAATTCGCTGCCGACATTAATGACTTCAACGAGGAAACTCTAGATGGCAAAAAAACTACACACACCACAACACTAGTAGTGTATCAGCGTCAGCCTTTTGGACCCCAACTCCCACCAAAGGTCCAGGCCGACCACTCCTCTAGAAGAAGATCTTTAGAGCAGCCTGTTCAGGGTCAACTCATGCACGAGTGCAGTGTGCATGGTAAGCGTCCTGCGTTGACCTCATTCATAGGAAGGGCAGAAGAGAACTTTGAATGTAGAGACGATTGCACAACAACTCAGAATGTAAGAGAACTGGCATGGTTTCTGCTCAGGCTGAATACAAAAAACGTATTGAAGGCCAATGATACCTATGGAGAGCAATCAGTTTCCGGATGGAGCGCATTCAATGCCGAAATGTCTTCCATCACGTTGCCTCACACCGTCATTGGGTACTGCCCGATGATTGCTGGATCACCAACAGAGTACAGTACCATCTATACGATACTCAAAACAGTGCAAGAAATGTCCAAACATCTCCAGCAGAACACTGCAGTAATCACATTTGATCTAGCAATTTATTCCAAGGCAAAGGAAATACACTGACGTTATCCAGAAGATTTCCAAAACCTGGTGATTCGCTTAGGGGGGTTTCACATTGCACTCAATTATTTGGCCTTGATCGGAAAGATGTTCCAGGAGAGTGGGTTGGAGGATGTGTTTATAGAGTCTGGCCTCTACGGATCGAACTCTACTATGGCACTATTGCAGGGAAAATCGTACAACAGGGGAATTAGAGGACACAAACTGATTATGGAGGCGCTATTGCGTTTGAAATGGGACGCATTTTGCTCCTGGGTTAGTAAAGGAGGAGGTGAAGAAGTCGAAAGCGAAGGAGGTCCGATTCTAAATCTCGTTGACTCTGTCAGAGCGCTACAGAACAGCAACAACAGCTGAAGAGAAGAAAGAGGCCTATTTGCTGCTTTGTAACACTGCCAACCGTGTTGAGGACTTATTGACGCGGTTTAAACAAGAAACGTCATTGAAACTTTTCAAGTTTTGGGACAAGTACATCGAGATGATTCTCCTTCTCCTCGAGTTCATTCGAGCAGAACGAGAGGGTGACTGGGAGTTATATCTTAAGGTTACAACAAAGATGATTCCTTATTTTTTTGCAATGGATCGCGTGAATTACTCCCGGTGGCTGCCTGTTTATATTATGGATATGCGCAATCTGCAAGAAAAAGCTCTAGACGTCTACAATGAGTTCCTTAGCAGGTCAACTTCACAGTCATTTAACCAAGTCTGGACGGACATGGCTCTCGAACAGAGCATTAACCTTGACAGTAAAGCTAAAGGTGGCATAATCGGTATTACGCAAAGCGCTCTCCAGAAATGGTTTTTGACAGCACACGAGAGAACAGCAACCACGACTGCTACCAAAAGAATGATAGATTTGGATGAATCTACAAGAAGTACACACAAGGAATCATCAAAAGTCAGAGTTCAAAGAGACGAAAATGACATCAAGAAGGTCATACACACTCTGCAGACAGTGATGTCTAATCCGTTCGATGAAGATGCGGACAGAGAGGACGTTCCACTAATGAACCTTGCTACGGGAGTAGTTATGCCAGAGGAGATATCAGAGCAACTTATTGATGCCCAATGTCTAGGAGAAGCGAGGATGAAGTTATTTGTGAGCAAGCGTATCAATACCAATGAAGTTGGCTTTTGGGAACCGATGGAAAAGATGAACATAAAAACCTTTGCAAGTTTGTCAAAGAAAGCAAAGGTTAAGTCCGTGGATGAGAAGCTTGTAACAGTAAGTGCGGACAGAAACTTGTTTGGGCGTCTTTTGATAGCTTCACGGTCAAGGGATATCGACTTAAGAGAAGTGTTAAAGTACAAGCTGGACTCTGTCCCTTGCGCACTGGCTCATCCTGATGGATCGTTACGGAAAACTACTAAAAGTGTGTTCCTGGAGATACTCGAGGAACAAGTACTAGCACTACCCAGACTACCAGTAGATGACAGAATATCAACTGCGTATGTCATAGATGGCATGGCAGTGGTGCAAATGATGAAGAACGCAGGCTCAGCCACATTTGGAAAGCTCGCTAACAAGTACTTCCAGTTGATAACCGCTCATCTTGGAAATAATGGCTGTAATCGTGTGGATGTAGTTTTTGATCGCTATGACAAGGAAGATTCGATCAAGGAAGCAGAGCGTGCTCAAAGGGGATCATTATCAAGCTTTGAGGTGCGAATATCGGGCCCATCCACTCCAGTTCCCAAGTGGCAAAACTTCATCTCCAACCCTGTGAACAAGACCAACCTAAAGGCGTTTCTTGGCAGTATGTGGAAAGAGATGGCAAAGACAAGGCTTGCAGGGGACCAGAAATTAGTGTTGCCAGGGTGTTTCATTCACAGCGATGACACGTTCGCTATCACTCAAAATCAAGAAACTCCTTTGCTTCATTTATCATCCGATCATGAAGAGGCTGACACAAGAATGCTTTTGCATGCAAGTGACTGTTCAAGAGACCACCAAAGGATTGTGGTGCAATCCCCTGATACTGACGTTGCAGCTCTCTGTGTTTATGCATGTAACATGATCAATACCCAGCAGTTATGGTTTCATACTGGTGTTAAAGACAAACTTCGTTTCCTACCAGTACACCGTCTAGCGGAGAAGCTAGGTGAGGATCTCTGCCGTCTTATTCCCTTGTTCCATGCATTGACAGGATGTGACTCAACTAGCGCGCTGTATCAAATTGGGAAGCAAAAGGCCTGGAAAGCTTTATTACAAACAAAGGATGTGTATGTAGATCTGGCGGGCTTAGGTGACAACGTACCACCACTTCAAAGTGTAGCAAAGACGGCTGAGGCGTTCATAAGCTCTTTGTGTGCCGTCCCATCAAGAGCTGGTACAACAGCAGATGATGTAAGGTATACTCATGGTCAAATCATTAATTTGATGTAACTTATTAGTTAAAGTGCATGTCAACAGCAAAAAAAATCCTTCCCTCAAAATGCTTTTGTGTTTTCTAGGTACTGGGTGTTCTGTCAGAGAAAACAGAAAAACAATGGACTGCCGCCTACCTCTGACAGTCTCCAGCTGCACATTCAGCGTGCCAATTACCAAGCAATGATTTGGAAGCGATGTCTGCAAGCCTTTCAGCAATTACCACAGCCAATGGGAAATGGGTGGGAGAAGGGCGATGACGGCTCCCTGAAGCCCCTTCTAATGACCAGGGATGCTGCCCCAAAGGGATTAGCAGAGCTCACTGTCTGCAAATGCATAAGGACAGCCTGCAAGTCCGCTTCTTGCGTTTGCAGAGTCAATGAGTTATCGTGCACAGAGGCTTGTGCTTGCATGGCCTGTGATTGTGAAAATCCTCACACTGGTTTCAATGAATTAGAGTGTCCGAGTGATGACGAGGAGTAGATTGTCAATTAGTTGTAGTAATGCTTTTGAAGTGAAACGCAAATGGAAAAGAGCATGTAATATCTGATTGCTATTGAACCTATGGCACAGGATCCTGTAGTTTCTTTTGCTTGAATAAAGACATTGGTGACAGTTAAATCTATAGAATATGCCGTTTCTTCAGTTCTACTTTCAGCAAATCGCGTTATGTCGGCCACAAAATCAGTGGTAATTACTTTGATTCCATACATAAACTCAGTTAAAAGTAATTAAGGGGGTCATTCAGCTTCCTCAAACCGGTAAAAAAAAAACTTATTTAATTTTTCGATTAACTTTTGTTTTAAATTGCTTTATTTAACCCACATCTCTGTTCGATCTTCTTTAAAAGCGGCATTGCTTACAAAAAAACACATCTTAGCAACCGTTGCCATGGAAACAAGGATCATTTCGCGAAAAGGTTGTAAAATGAAAGAGCTTATAAAGTTACATGACTGTTCATAGTTTCATCGTTGAACAGTGTTCAGTCTTTAAGATATGCTTTTTCAAAGGTTTTAATTGGTAACAATAGGAAAATAGGGTTTAGAGGCAATTATGACAACTTTCATGACTTGTTACAAGACAATGGAATGGTTTGATTTGCAAATTTGTAAAAAATCTTATACAAATGGTTCTCGAGAATTAGTAAATATTAATTGTAAGCACATTCTAAGTACATCGGCAATATATATTTGTCGCAGAAGTCAAAACATCCGTTATTATTGACGTTAGACCCCATAGACAGAGTTTTCTTATAAACCGTTACCATGGCAACGCAAAAAAGGCACAAAATACATCAGAGATTGTAGCTCTTATGGATTAACACTCGTTGGCCAAATACAAATACAATTCCCTGATTAAGTAAAAAGATATGATTTTTCAAAGTTTTAACCCTGTGCGAAAATGCTGAAATTTGATGATTCAAAATACCCCCCACCCCCTTCAGAAATCGCAGCGTACCAAGTCACTGACCCCACAATTTGTAGATCCGAATGTCGAATAAGTGATCTGTGGGTATTTGGCTATCTGAATCTGTTGTCAAACCTTTTCTGTGGTGGGGGTGCTACGTAACCCATTAGTTGGGCCTCTTTTAGAAATCTGCTCCTCGACTAGCTAGCTGGAGTGTGTAAACATGTGGGTGCACTTTCTTCAAAAGTTAGAAAGGGAGACAACAAATCATGCAAATCAACACCTCAGGCCTGGGGAAGACCTTCAGCTTTAGCTGAAAAACGTTACTCTGCCAGCAGATTGTCAAACATCCAAATAAAGAAAGCCAAGGTGCACAGAGGCAACTCCCTTGTCCCTTTGCAGACCTACACTGTTACTAGGTCTGGATATGACTGTTTTGTCGAGAAATTCTATAATCGATCATTAAGTTAATTTATCCGCTAATGAGATACGTTATAATGATGTCATAACACTAATGTAAGTCATTTGTCAGATGTGGACCAATCCTACTCACTGAGTAAATATCAAATCATCTCGTATATTTTATTATCTGAGCATTTCATAACAATGTAACTTCCTTTTAGGATTTGAACGCAGTTCTTTTATTGTCTGGCAGTAAAGTCGCCAATAAAGATGTTTGATAACAGTGAACTAAAAACCCACAACTGATGAAACAATCCTTGTGCAATAGAAGACAGAGGATTTTTTAAAACTACCCTTAAACCTCATCTAGTCGATTCAAGCTCCAAACAATTGAGATCAGTTATATGATTTAAATATGTACGAGCTTTAGGGAATCGGCAGCAAAGATAAAATAAAAACTACAACAACAACATGTCCGACTCATTTCTTTTGCATGTTTTTGAGCCTGCTATGCCCTATGGGAGGCACAGGCCTCCCAACACTAGAACAAGAAATTTTTTTTACAATGTTCAACAAAAGGTAACAACAGTACAAACGACATCAATGAAAATCTGGACTTATTTAATTCAATGTTTACTTCATGCCTTGACAGACATGCTTCTTTGAGGAAAATTAGAGTCACACATCCTCCTGTGCCATGTTAAAATCAGATGATATTTAACAGCTTCAAATGCAGGGGAATGACCTTCGATATCAAGCCAATCAATCTAAATCAGAGGATATTTGGAAAAAGTTTTAGAGGCATATGAAATTTACTCAGAACAAAGATCACACATCAAAATGTACATTCCATCAAAAGGTACTTTGTCGAAAAAAATTAAAGGAGCTTTGGCGCATTATACATTGTATTCTTAATTCTGACCCTAAGCCTATTGCTGCTGATCCTGACGAGTTGAACTTCCACTTTAAGAAGACCCTGGAAAGGATACTGGAACCAATCCATCCTCATCAGAATGTCTGAAAAAATATATCACTTTTTTGTCAGATTATGGTAACTACTTCTTCTCACTATGTCCAGTCTCCTTTAAGGAAGTAGAACAGCAGATCAAAAGTATAAGAACTGGCTGTGGCACAGGTCCTGACCTTATTACAGCCAAGTATGCTAAGCTGACCAGAACTAGCGTGACTGTCTAGCGTTACAACCGGATATCACATTTAGTATTCATATGATTGACAAGTGAAATTGTAATAGGAGACAGAAGAGTATTGTGAAAGAAGGAGGTTTTTGAGGACAAACAACACAAACAACACAAGGATCGTGAGGCCAGTTATTTTGTAATTTTTCGTTTCATTTTCGTTATTAAACCCGGGAATTGTCAGTAAGGAACTTCGAGAAGAAAAGACGAGGGTTGTATCCTCGTGTACCAGTACACAAAAGAAGGAAACATTAACGAACTGCGTCATAACTCCATGTATGGTTATGAAAACAATAGGAATTCCCTCGTGTACCGGTACACCAGGACAGCCCCAAGATGAGGGCAGAATTGGAAATGGCGGAAAAGAAAATCAAAATGGAAAAAGCTGCGAAAGCCGCCCGTGCGAAGCTGCCAGAGCTCAAGATAACCCCTTTCAATGGCACTCCAGTTGACTGGATCAGGTTTCAGAACATGTTTACATCACAAATACACGACAAACCATTATCCGATGAAGAGAAATATGGATATCTTTTGGAGCTGGTGGCCCCTAAGGTGAGAAGTAGATTAGCTAATTTAAAGCCGGGTGTGCTGGGGTACAAAACTGCATAGGACAGGTTGAAGACTGAGTTTGGACAGAGTAAAACTGTTGTTGCTGCACACATGGAAGAGATAATTAACTTGCCAGGGACCAGAGGATCAAATTACGAAAGGGTGTGCGAATTTTATGAAAAGTTGAGCAAGAATTTTGACGCATTACAAACTTTGGGGGAGAGAGAGATGCTCAAGGGTTTCATTCTGTCAACCTTAAACAAGCTCCCCCAAGTGAAACCCGATCTGGTGAGGACAGACGAGGGGTGGGAAGATTGGAACATGGAAAAGTTGATCGATTCTATCCAAAAATGGCTCAAGCGCAACAAGGCCGAAGACAATTATAAGGATCGAACAGATACAAAGAGAAAGAACGCCATTACTTTAACCAGAAGGACCCCCACTGCCTGTTCTGCAACCAAAACCACTGGGGAGATTCGTGCCCAACATACAACACAATTGCGAAACGGAGGGAATTCTTTACAGCAAAACGGCTATGTTACAATTGCGCCCGCTCAGGGCACACTGGGAAAGAATGTTGTAGCAGGGGATGCTATAAGTGCAAGAGCAAACACCACACCAGCTTGTGTGATAAGCCTAAGGGGAACGAGACGCAGAATCCCAATGCCACTCTAAGCAGATACATGCCCTCCGTTGAGGAAAAGTCCCTACCTGCCATAGTACCAGTGAAAATCCGGGGGACAACGTTCTGGGCATATCTAGACACAGGCTCAACTTACAGAAGAATCAAGATGGAGTGCTAGAGTGTCGAGGATGATTGCAAGGCATATATCCAATTTACGTCCCAGACTCAACAGTCTTTGCAGAGAAGTTGGTGCAACAAGCACATCTGGCCACTCTGGGAGTGAGCCTCACCATGGCCAAAGTTAGAGAACAGCATTGGATTCCACGTCTAAGGCGCCTGGTCAAGAAACTCGTCAAACAGTGCTATGGTTGTAAGTGCTTTCAGGCTGTTGCTGTCGCAGCCCCACCTCCTGGGCTGCTACCACTGGAGAGAACGGAGAACTCGGGCGTCTTTAAAGTGGTTGGTGTTGACTTTACAGGTCCTATTAAGTACAGGAAGTCTCCGCTCATGGAAAGAAAAAGCCTACCTGATATTGTTCACTTACAGCCTGACAAGAGCCTTACATCTGGAAGTTTTGCCAAACCAGGAAACTGCAACCTTCCTAGGAAGCTTAAAGCGCTTGATTGCTCACGGAGGACGCCCTTCCACCATATTCTCAGACAATGGACGAACCTTTATCAGAGCAGCACGCTGGCTTAAAGAAATTCAGACGGACAAACAGCTGCAAGCTTACCTGGCAAAGAAGCGGATCACCTGGAGGTTCAACCTTAGTTGTGCACCTTAGTGGGGTGGATAGTTTGAACGGCTTGTGGGAGTCTTCAAACGTGCCTTCTACAAAACTATCAGGGGAGAAATGCTAAGTTGGACAGAGTTGTGCGAAGTGGTGCTCGAGGTGGAGACCCAACTTAATCGACGCCCCTTCTCCTATGTCAAAGATGATGTACAGCTCCCGCTACTCACCCCTGCAAGCTTATTTCAGAAATCCAACCGCCTGCTTGAGCGAGGAACCGTGGAGAGAGGAGGATGTTGACCTACACAAAAGAGCCAAGTACCTGAAAACCTACAAAGACACACTGTGGAAGCGATGGAGCCGTGAATATCTTGTTGCCCTCCGAGAACGGCACAACTTGAAACACAAGGGGCATGCCACTCCCTTGTGCGAGGGGGATGTGGTAATTATCAAAGATGATGACCGTAACTGAAACAAGTGGAAGCTCGGCATCGTAGAGGACCTGATTGCTGGAAGAGATGGAATTGTGCGAGTCCCCAAGCTGCGAACCGGGATAGCCACCCTAGGAAGAGCAATCCAACAGCTCTACCCATTAGAGTTGACGTGTGACAGAGCTGCTATAGAGAATTCGGTGCAACTTAACCCAGGCGCACCCACATTCAGACCACGACGAGATGCTGCAGTGGCAGCAAACCTGAGGATTCAGGAAATTGCTACTGAAATGGACTAGACAGGATTTCAAGGAACACTGAACTGTGATTAAGAACACTTGATTGACTGTAACTGATTTACGCGAGTTGGTTGTTAGTACCACTTAGGTTTAGTGTTTCTCTCCTTCGGAGACAAACAGGGGGAGTGTGTTGGAGATTGCGTGACTAATACAAACATTTCAAGATAATTATTTAGAGCAAGAACCTTTAAAACATGCGATGATAGGATATTTAGATTACATGTCAATGACAGTCAGAAATCAAAGATGGACAAGTGCCAAGTATCTCGTATTGATTGACAGCTTGATCGAGTAACTTAGATACAGGACACCATTGTTGACAGATCGTTAGTTTTTACATTGTATTGTATGATGTAGTTGAGTTGCCTGGAGAGAGTGAGGGAGTACTGTACCTGAAAACCGTGAATTAAATCATCTAAAACCAAGTTTATACTGTGATATCATGAAGTTTGGCCCTAGGGCATTCGCAACAATGTTGAATTTTCACCTTTTTTTTTCTCTGAGTTGCTTGAGCTGAGTTCCCTAACAGTGTCTGTGTGGTGCATTTGGGGGCCCCTCCTTTGGAGGTCTATGTGGATAGCATCATGTGTGGCCTTTACCTTGGGAAATACCAGTCTCTTCACATGTCACACACTCACTTTCACCACTATGTTAAGGCATGTTTAATAAGTAAGCTTTGCCTTGAAGGTCAGTTGACCCAAGAAGCACAGCAACTTTGATATTACGTGAAACTGTTGGTTCCTCTTGTGACAAAAAAACAATGTTATGTATGTATATTTCACATCATAAGGTTTCCTGAGCTAGTAGCTTGGTGACCAGACTATAATTGCCAGATACACTGTTTGATGGCACTAACTAAACAAAGCTAAATATAGGCATCAGAAAAACGAGTGGCTGAGCTTGATGACACTTATCTCTGGATTGTTATGTTTGAAAGACTTCTGGTGTATATGTGGTTGAGATGTTAATTTTGAACGAATGAACTCCTACAAAGACATGGGGTATGATATTCGCCGTCCCTGCAGGTCAACATACCATCATAGTTTGAAGACTTATAAAACCAGTACTTACCTTTTTAAAACAATTTTGAATTTAGAAGCATGTAGGTGTCTGGCAAGATTTGTGAGTGATTCTGATGCATCTTTGTTATTTCACGAGGTGACAAAAGTCCAAAATTGAAGTGAATTTGGGCTTCCTGTATCTCTTTGGCTCTGTGGAAGAGTACTGGTACCCCAATATTGCTGAAATCAAGGTAGCGGGTCCAAGTTTATCAAAGAAGCAAAGTGAGTGTGGAATCTATTGTTTATGATCTTTCAAGCCAAGAAATGCTGTTTTGATGTGTAGTTTAGGGTTGTTTGAATACCAAGCCTTGAAGAAGAATATTTATCCCCACAAGATTCCATTTAAAGGCAATCAAAGGCCAGAGGTAAGGAAAAGGCGAATGAGGTGGATTCAGTTTATGAGTGTGAAGTGTACTAAGTGGACGCCGACTTTGAACTGACACATATGTTTAATACATTTCAAGCCAGAGGATTTCCCAATGAGATTCCCTGTTCTTAGGGAAGCTAAGCTATCTTTTGTGCCATGGCTTATTGTGGGTGACATCGGTATCGCTGTTGTTCCATTGATCCAATGTGCACTTCTTGGCAACTGTACTAGCAGTACCTCCTCAAGCATTAGTGCAAAGTCAACAAGAGATTGTTGACAGGTACATATTTCTCTGGGCATTTCTGTACTAAAGATATGAAGTTCAATTTTCATTATTTATTCTATAGATCCTAAAAATGTCATGGCTGCAACAAGTAATGATACTGCTGATAATGAACCATTGCAAAACCTTGAAGTAACTGTTGACGGGGCGGTTGAAATGAAGTCCCCTGACTACAAGATTCCTCTAACAGAATTCTGCAATGCCTCAATGCAGATTGAAGATTGCATTGGTTGCAAGTCATACAATAAAAACAGGATCTTAGAAAATAAAGTGATTGACTTGAAGGTACAATTGCAGGACAAGAATGAATCTCTCAGCAACACTAAGAAAGGTTTGTGTAAGAGCAAATGATTAAAAAGCTATCCATTGAACCTTCTTATGCTTATTTTTATTGTTTTATTTCTTTAAAAGCATCAAAAGTTACCATCACAGCTGGAAGAAGGTAGTTCGGAGAAAAACAAGGAAGAAAAGGAGGAAAAGGTAGAGGAAGGCAAAGACCCACAAGATTAAGATGTGGTCATCAAGGAAGAGCCATTGATCAGTGGCATGGACTCTGATCTGTGGTATGAAACGGAAACAGAGACAGAAACTGACACAGAATCAAAGGGAGATGAAAAAATGTCTTGGTAGGTAGCTATGGTTTATAGCATGATGATTTAAACTCTAAAACTTAGGTTTTGCTTCTGGTTTATTGTCTTTAGGCTTCCAATGGATGAAATTCTCCAAAAACACTCCAAGTTTATTGTGTTTCTGTCTCACCTGCTACTGCTGTTTTCTATTTGTCCTGTTTCCCAAACAGATAATCCACTAGTGGATACATGCTCAAAAGGGACAATGGTTGAAGTTAAAACCACATGCAAAAGCACTACTTGTCTTAAAAAGGAGCACATCTGGAAAGGTCAGCCTGAAAGGGAAGGGAAAAAAATGCCTGCAAGGAATTTCTTGCTGTGTTTTGCATTACTTCTCTCTAGAAACTCTGCATACAAAGTGCCCCTATATACATGGGTTTGTAATGCATTCCCCTTAGAGGTTACTTCAGATATCAAAGGGTAAGCTTTCTATTTGTATATATTGGATTGTTTCCTGTCATCCAATATTTCCATTTGTATAATTTTTAAATATGTTAATGTTTGTTGAGTTGGCTAGCTGCATTGCTAATGGTCTGCCTCCTCTTTCCTCGATTGTAGCTAGCAATATGGAGAAGGGGAGTATTGTGTATTTAGACACTACCTTGGACAGCCCACAACTGTTAAAAAAATTACAAAATCAATGTTTTAGGTGATAACCTTTCAATGTTTTGGTTAGGGGAAGCTCTTTCCTATTACATACCTATACTGGAAGACATGCCAAGAAAAAATGCTGGAAGTGTTGAAAAAAAGTGAGAGGATATGGCAATAGCAGGATATGGGGGACATGACAGTATGCAACACGGCGCAAAACATAGTGCTTACACCATATTTTCTTGTACTATTCCCATGATTGTTTGTTTTTCTCTAGTCCAAGCAGTTTCTTTTAAGTATCCCTTTATTTACCATGGATGAAAGGGATTTGTTACATTGTCAAGCTTCCTCATCTGAAAATGCTTTCGAGACCCTTAAATAACACTTACAGACTGGACAAAATCCCTTTCCTTCTGTTCATTTTTTGAAATTAAACATGAATCACACGCATCCACTACTAGTTTACGAGACCAAAGCATATGTTGTTTCTAGAATAAAAGGAGTATATGTGTGTATTTCTTCTTTTAGAGAAATGTTGCTGGAAGCAGCCCTGCCATGGAATACCTTGCCTTTCAGAACTGCATGGCCTACCTTCTTGGCAGTGGTCTCACCATGTCAGCTCTCATAACAGACAGACACCTCCATTGTAACACATATCAGGGAAAGATGCCAGAACATCAAACACTATTATGATTTATGGCATCTTGAAAAGAGTAAGCCCCCCCTCTGTTACCCTATCTACTATAAATGGTGGCTACTTAATAATGCACACCTGTGTACTGTATTATGATTGATACAAATGAGCATTTTTTCAAAAGTATTCTATTATACCTTGAATGTTGTGGTTTTTTTAATTTCTTAACGATCAACAAAATGTTAATAAAGATAAGCAAAGAGAAAGATTGTTGTGCTCTAAGTACATGGATAGGTCCCTGCCTAAATCACTTCCTTTGGAGTGCCACTTCTACCCTGTCAGGCAATGAAATGCTGATTTGGGCCAAATTCAAGTCTTTCCTTTACCATGTTGTCAATAAGCGCAAACATTTGCCTGATGTAATTTTTAACAAATGTGCACATGGTGACAATATTGAGGAACAAATGTGTTTGGAAGAAGGTTTGTCTTCTCCATTGTCTTGTACCATATTTAGAAGTTTTGTTCATGACAATTTGATCAAATGCTTTTTTCATCAAAACTGATATCTCTGCAACCACTCACTTACACTTGTTAAAAATCAAGAATCTTCTATTGTTACTGTTTTATGTGGTATTTTTGGCTAATCTTGTTCAGCATGTATTCATCAATATTCAAAGCTTTAATTCACCTCAAAAGTACATGGAAGTTTGTTATCTTGCCTGACTTTGGATACTGTGGTGTTAGTTGTAATGAGCTAAAGTAGGTCATAAAGACTTGCAAGAAAAAATCTGCCCTAGAGAAAAGATAGAACTTTTACAGCTAATAGGGGAAGAAATACAAAGTCTTGGCAATTTTGGAATAGATAAGGGTGCTTATAGGGGAGAATTAGGGTGCTTACCATTTTGCAAACCAATTTCAAATTTTAGCTGAGAGTCAAATAGGACGGAAATTTTTGTGGAAAATTCCTTTGGAAAATGTAACCTACCTCCAGAGGTAGTCCTCTTTTTCTGTTCAGAACAACAGCAGAAATTTCCTTACCATTGGCTAAAACTTCCAATTTCCATTCTCTCAGAAGCCAAAAACATTTACAGGAAAACAGATTGCAAATGGCGAGTACCATCTCATTCGGTTGGTATGCTGATTTGGGAAAAACCCCTGCCGGTGATTGACTGAGTTAAGAGTCACTGAAGTAAACATTTGGCAGGTTAGGGCTTGTTGCACGTTACAATTGGGTGCATTTGAGCATCTGAGGTTCTCAGCCATCAAATAATTTGCACAAAGCTGCCAAAATGTGTTAGAGTCAACAGGCTTCAGGCATGATCACACTACTTCAGAGACTAATGAAATATTTACCTTCCACAGAATGAAAAATGCTGACTACTTTTGTTCTTCAGCAAAAAGATTGGAATCAGTCGTTAATAGCAGACAAGAATTTGTTTATGATAAACCTGGATAACCCAGCAGGCAACTGCAAATGTCAGCTAATAGTAATGGTGCTTCCAGCTTTGAACACTGTACATAATCCATACTTTTACAATTACCTTTTCTGTTTTAACATGACCAATAAATGTGAAAATTTTTGGCTGGAAGTTTGAAAACATTAGTCTTTTAACTTGCAAATCTACAGAGAGAGGTGCCATTGCACAACATATCAACAAATTGTAGTTTAAAGAGGGAGTCCACGAGATAATAATGGAAATTGTCATCATGTTATGTCTGTCAGTTAGATTTTGGTTGTTGGTAGCGATAAACAGGAGTTGAAAGTAATGCAATCACTCAGGTATAAATTTTCTTCTGACAGTTGCAAACTAAGTGGTGGGACACTATTTACTATAATTTTATTTGCTGTACAAATTTTGTGGGATTTTCATAGGATTGATGCAATTTTTGACAAAATCTTAATATGCAATTGCAGACATTTTTTTCTGAGAACTGGAATTTTGTACGATTGTTACTTATTTATCCAAGAATTTCTTGCATATACAAACAGAGAGCAAAAATAGGTAAAATACCCAGCAGGGCATGGTTCAAAATAGGTCTTAAGACCTAATTACTCACTCCAAATCTCCAAAACTAAGAACGACAACAAATCCAAAAACATCTAAACATATATTGACAGTTTTGCTCTGTGAAAGCTCACAATAAGTGTAAGTTGAAGGGTTCTAAAACTTTCTGGGTAACATATTTTCAAACTGAACTCGTTTCGTGTGAGAGTAACAAAAACTCAAGTTGATTTCGAAGTCAAGCATCCTTGAGTGGCATAGTGTTAAAAAGTCAGACATGTAAATCATTCCCTGATGATGCTGTAGATTGGTGACAGCTTGAAAAGCTAAATTATCACAGCATACTTGGCCTCACTTAATTTACACATCTGACTTTATTTTGAAATGTTTACATGTACCTTCCCCCACTTTCCTTTGTTTATTATTGTAGTGGTTAACTACATTGCCTAGCTGCGAAATGCAACATTGGTGACAACTATTACAAAACAAAGTAAAAATTAACTTGACAATGGTATTGTTGTGGCAAAACAAAATGTTATTGACAAAATGGTATTCACAATTAATGCAAAATTTATGGTAACAGTTAGCTCCCAGATATGTTTATAATCCCATCTCTGAATAAATCCCAAGCTAGTGATGCAGAAATTGAATTCTCCAGTGGTTACCTAGCATGGCTATGGCCAGCAACTGTTCTGAAGCACCGTGAAACTTTAGGTGAAATGTTGAAGGACCCTGCACTTATTAACCATTTTCACAAACAAGAGCTAAGGTCAATGTTGCAAGAAGCAATGAAAGTAATGAAAGATCATGGAGCGAACAGGTTAACTTTTCCTAAGTTTTTTGGCATGATAGCTGATCAGAGATACCAAAGTCCTTTCTAGCATTTGGTTTTAAAGCTTCTTGCAATTTCAGTCAGATCTGAAAATCAATGAGACAAGTCAGTGAAAAATAACTTTCATGTTCATGGACAGAACATTCTCACATTGGTGTCTATGGACAGAGTTGGATTAATTAAATGGGCTACTCTTTGGAAACTAAAGGAGTCACAGGGCTCATTCATAAGTAAAGAAGCCACTCCAAACTTGTTTGAGTTCTATGCCAAGCACATTTTCAGTCTTCCAGTTAACAATGTTCTTACTGAAAGACAGTTCAACCTTTCTCAACTGTATCTTATGATAACATGTCAGAGTTATCAAAACAAGCCTCAGTCACATTTGTTAAGAACATTCTGCACAGTGGAAAAACCAACACTAGGACCACAAATGCAACATGAGAAGTTCGCGTAGAAAGAATGACAGAATATGCCCAAATGCTCACCACAGCCCTTTGGCAAGAGGCAACAAAGAACTTAAACAAGGTTAGAGAAAACAGCACACACAGGCCACTTACAGCAATAATAGTAAGGATTTCTATAGCGCCATATCTGCATGCTCATGGCACTCAAAAACTGAGTATTCAAGATTGAAAATTTTTTCGATTAATATTCAGACGGACTCCATACGTGCGAAACTCTTTGTTTGATATTTTCTCACGTTACAATTTTTTATCAGCTATTGTTGTTTTTTTTAGTATTTATAGACCAAAAATCACTACTTATTTTGACTTGATAATGACGTTCAGCCAACGTCGAAACGTCGTCGCTTTTTAGCAATTTTTTTAATCTTGAAATGACTTTAAGAAATGTTTTATCGCAATTTTTTATAGATTAAAAAATTACATCAGTAAAAGAACAAGTTAAAAATTTGCATCTGAAAATTAAGATTAGAATTAAAAGTAAAGATTATAAGTTGAAATTCTTAATTGCAATATGTCTCACAGAACTAAAATCAAAATGTTGTTTGAATAAGAAAGTCTATAGAAGTTTTAAATTTTTAAATATCATCAAGATTACGAATGGGTTCTGGCAGTGAGTTCAAATGGTACGTGCTGCAAATGAGAATGATCTGCAGAAAGGCTCCTTGAATATTGAATCCTTTAAAAAGAATATTAGGAAAAAAAGACCTAGCATCATTCTTAAACAATAACAATAGCTGCTGTAACCTGTGCAACTGGTAGAGACCACCTTTTATATATCTAGCATTTATTGCACAATTTATACATGTTATTCATTTGAATTATATTTCATCTTTCATCATTTCTTATTTGTAAAAAAAATTATATCATATTTATTTATTTATTTTTGCATCTCTAATTAGTTGTGAAAGCTAAATACATTGACACGTTAATAAAGCTTTTACTTACTTACTTACTTACTTACAGCCATACTTCTTCAATTTGGCCGATGGTATTGCCTGGAGCCTCTTAGAGGAAGATCTTATGCTTCTTGATGGTTTGTCGTTGCAATATTTCTGTGATACAGCTTTAAAGTTTAACAGAAGTATCTTGTATTTGATGCAGCTGTACACAGGAAGCCAGTGTAATTGTGAGAATTGGTGTGATATGATCATGTTTCCTGGAACAAGTTACCAGGTGTGCAGAACAGTTTTGGACAGCTTGTAAACAATCAACCAGAGATTTAGGAAGGCCATAGAGTAATGAATTACTACCATCTAATTTAGGGGAAATTAAAGCATGAACTAAGATTTCAGTGTCTTTTTGTGAGACTGTCTCTTATTTTGGCTGTATTCCTAAGATGACGTGTTCGACAAGAGTCATTTTTCATGACTTAACCTGACTGAGCACTTTTTTCGTTACGGTATTTTGTTGTAAACTTTCTGTTATTAACACTCACTTCTTTTTGTTCTCTTGTTCATTGTTCTTTCCCTCGACCGGGAGGTCTCGATTTAAGGTGGGAGGAATGTCAGGGGAAAAAGTTATGTATTTTAGTTCGTACAATGTTAGTCCAAGCTTTCTTTCAATTTCGGTTTTCTTGTACTCTGTTCATTCTTTCACTCGACCAGTTGAGCTGTAAAGAATGATGAACAAATTGTTCTATTCAAATTATTGTTATCATTGTAAAAAATAAAGCTGAAAAAATTAAATTGTTAATGTATAACGTAAAATATTACACTTAAGGTTTTTTGTGGGTTTTTTTGGGGCAAATATATTTGCTAATCTTCCATATGTATTCGTATACTTACGCATTTAAAATATTCGGGTTTAATCGGGTTTTTCTTCTAGTGAGTCAAAAAATGTATAAAAACCACAGTAGCTTTTGGAATAAATTTTTGGTTTGTTACTCACTTTCATTATGCACTTGCATGTCGGCACTTTTGTCATTTATTACATGGTTTTTTTTTGGGTAAATATAAGTATTAATGGTCTTTCTGGAAAAATTAGTTTTCATGGTAGTTAGCAGCTGAGTTTATACTCATAGCTTTAATTTCTTCTGATACGATAGTTTCCACACCAACCTTGCACAGATAAGCAGAAACTTTTAATTGCTTTTCCATTTTTATTTCCTAAGCTGTTCTGCTGTAATCAAGATAGGTATTATTTTCTATACA